TTTTGTTTACGATTTCGTCACTTCAAGTACCCAGAGTGAAGAAACTCATTGAACCCCACAAAGAACAGCATTAAACATTAAGATCAAAGCACCAAAAAAAAAAGCTCCCAGCATCCTATTCATTGTCCCATAATCTTAAATTATTTCAACTTCACTGTAAATTTCACGGCACTAAATCAAACAAGCCCACCATCACCAAAAGGGAAAAAAACCACTTGGGGTGGGTCATCAGGAACAATCCATTCACACCTGTCTACATGGATAAATTCTTCGCCCAGTGGCTTCTTAGGTAGGAGACATATTTTTTTTTTTGTTTCATAAAATAATGGCAAAATGAACACCTGTTGTACACTGAGGTCCATGCTTAAAACTGCTGTGAGGGGACTGTAAAAGGTAAATCAAGCCAATGTGGCCCTCAAATCTCAGGACTGGAAAGAAAAAGGCAGCATAAAAAAAGAAGACACAGTTTCCAGTTAAACCTGTGAGTGAATGTGATGCTGCCTTCTCAACAAAACTGGAAAAAATGCCTCTGCACCAACCAACTATAATTAATAAGAATAATTTATTGAAGAAACAAAGAACACTAAGTCAAATTGTCTTTGCCGACTGCCACAGTCTACTATCTGTGCTTCCTCTTTGCACAATACCAGGCTGTAGGCATCGGAGCCAGAACATTATCTATGAGATACAAAATCAAAGCACTTCTTGAAATCAAATGTTCCTTACAGCATTTATTTTTAGGTTGGTGACACAAGCCAAATCTGCTTAATTTCCATTAACTCCATGGTCACATGTACGTTGAAATAAACTGTAAGTGTCCAGAGCAGAGAGGTTTGGAAGAAGAGAGAGAGAAAAAAACTGTCATGTAGAAGACACCCCCAAATTCATCCAGCTTTTCCCCTGTTTCAGGAACTGTCCTCATCTCATAGCCTGCTGCTGCTCCACCTTTGGGCACCTCTACCTTTAGCCCATCCAAGTATCAGACAAGAGAAATTGTAAAACTCATGCCCCCTTGCCCTGTGCACATAGAGCAAATAGCTGGTCGATTAGGGAACAAGTCACAAGAAAGATCATTGGGAAAATGCAAACTTAGGACTTGCTGGCTTGTCTCACAAGCTCAGTGTTTGATCACCTGGTGTGATTTACTACCATCAAAAAAAAAAAAAAACCATAAACACTGCAAATAGTCATTGTATAGAATCTGGAATATAAAATTCACCTGGCTAACCACCAGATGCCTTTCTTGGGGGTTATGTTCTTTAGAAAACAAACGCCTTACCTGCTCAGTGCTCTTATATATTTTCTAGATTCAAAACCACACTTTTAAAAAAAGAGCCAATACTGCTAGCTTAGCAAAAATAGCACCGACTGACTGAAATGCATAAAAGGAATATGACACAGAATAGGGTGAGAAAGGGGAGCGCCCTCAGCAAAATTGTTTAAAACAAAAAAACAAAACTACCACCTGTGCAAATTGAGCGTTGCACTGAAAACCCTTTCTGAGTCGTGTAGAAACAGCTCATCGTCCATGCCTTGAAGTTGCAATTAAATTGTAGTCATTTAAGATTATGGAGAGAGCAGAGGGCAGTGAAACTCTCTGGAGAGCTACGCTACTCACTTAATGCTCTTCAGTCAGGGTTAAATGAGTTTCTTTAATGTAAGTACTTTCAAGTAACTGAATCATAAACAAAATTTATACTATTTTCTGACAGCTTGCAATCTATTTAAATTTCATTAACGTGTAACTAAAATTGTTTTTAAAAGACAAAAACTCTTGCTATAACCTGTAAATATTCTTGGCATCCTCGTTGAAATAGGATTGGTCTTGTAATACCTACCCTTGTCTAAATACACATGGTTGTTTGTAATGTGCAGTGTTAGAAGATGAAATTTCAAAACTGAGTTTGAGGCTTAGGTAACACATGAAAACCAAATAAATATGCACAGAGACTACATGCAAAGAGAAATGCGGGTCCCAAAGAGGTTGACACCTCTGCCATCCAGTCCTCTCTCTTCCTTAATTTTGGTATGGGACATGTTATGGTACAAATATATTTGTTTGGGAAATATCCCAATTCTGCTATTCTGTTATTTTAAACTACTGTAGAGACACAATAGCCTTCCCAGAGAGCCTAAGATCGCAGGCTGCCGACTTCAGGAATGCAGTATTAAGAGAAACAAGGAAAAACTTAGTGATGAAAGAAAGAAGAGGGGGGGGAGAGAACGAATGAACATACCATGCCTAGGCTCAATATGAACATACCATGCCTAGGCTCAATATTAACCCAGTTATCTTTGGCTATTGGTGGTAACTAGAAAATATTCATAGCTCTTAAAAGAAAAAAACCCACTATATATTGCAGAAAATTGCCTACTTGCATCAATGTATACATTTAACTCACATTCCTTAATTAGACAATAAAGGTATATGCAACAAAAAAAAGACTTTGAGACATGCACCATCAGTAGGAAACTCAGGCTTATTTAAACACACACACACACCAAAAAAAAAAAAAACCCACAAAATGTTATATGACTGACACTTGTTAATTAAAAATACAAGACTTCAATGACAATTGTTTTATTCTTATATGTTTACCTTTCTCTATTTCCTCTTTTGTTCTACTTAATTAAAAATGGCATTTAATTTGGTGATACTTTATAGCTGGGAAAAGAAAGTGTTACACAGTTTATCCTCTAAGATTTAAATATAAACACAAAATCTTTCAGGCAGCTATAGGAATATGAATCTCTTAATTTGAGCCAGTTAATTTAACTAGTTGATATTTCTTTCATTCTACTTTGATAAACCTGTGAAAACAAAATGCTAAAGTAATTACTGTTACTACATTACTTAAAAATGTAAAGCAGTTAAAATTTCCTAGACAACAAGCAAGGACAAGTTGCAAGAAAACTTGAATAAAAGTAGCAACATGGTCATGTTGAATGTCAATCTAAAAAAAGAGGTTACATCTAATCTGGAGAAGGCTCTCTTGCTTTTTAAATTCCAAGTGTGGGCTGATAGGAAACTTCATCACTCGTGTTTTTTGTTGTTTCTTTTTTTTTTTTTTTAAGCTTCACATCAGATTTAAATCCTAGCTTCCCTGACAAGGCAGTTCTCCTAGCTCCATGTGAGAAAACGTTATCTAACTTTAGTGTAGGAGTCTAAGGTTGGTAAAAAAGAATTCCACTGTACAGTTCTGGGTAGCAAGACAGCCTCTGGATGACTTAATATTTATTCTTTGGTTACCTTTTAGGGTGCATTCTCCTCATAAAGATGCATTTAAAGAAATAGTAACTTGTTTAGCAACTCTGCATCCATAGGGAATTCAAATCCAACCAGAGAGAAGCTGGAGATTTCCTTCCAAATGAGCCTGTGCTTTGCACAAGGAAGATCAGCATTTGCAATGGTCCATTTCTGCATAAGTGAACATACAGCCTGGCTGTGTGAGTGAATAGTCCAGAGTTCTACAACCAAGCAGCTCCTGACAACAACCCAGCAGCAGTTCTGTTTGATCTCTCCTGCTTCCTTAATTTGGGTTGTCAAGGTTCAGCAGTTGGAGGCTGTTTACTTTTCCAAAAAAAAAAAAAAAAAAAGTTATTTCTCTCCCCCCCCCCCCCATACAATGACTAATCCAAATTGGGTGGGAGAAGTAGACAGTAGCCAGATTTTAAACCTTTTTTCTTCCCCTTTCCAAGTTGAGATTTTAGCTGATACCTTCTGGTCACTAGCTTGGTTCCTTTACATAATTTTTTAATACTCTTTAATTAAGAGACCACATTCCAAATACAAAGGCAGGGAGGAAAAAGAGATTCCAATTTTCTGGAAATGGGACTCCAGATTGTTTGCTTTTCCTTGACGCAAAGGGATGAGTATTTCTACTTTGAGACTCCAAATTCCAGTGGAATTCAAAAAAGAAAGAAGAAAAAAGATTTGACAAATTTTTTCTCTGAAACAGAAATTAGCAAGAACTCCTTCCTGTCTCCCAGCCTCAGGCTCTATCCCCTGTACAGAAAACATCTGAAGTTTACCATTTGTCTTCAAATTCTAGTTAACCTATCTTCCCTTGGAATTGCTTCTCACTGTGGAAAAACGAGGGGTAGGAAGGTAAAGATTTTGCACAATTTCGGTGATTTTTCAATGATAGAAAACGCAACTCAGCTGTTTTACAAGAACTAAACGCTCAAATGTATGGACGAGCAAAGGTGAAGTGTAACGGCTCTCATGCACAGTCCTTTGACCGGAATTCCAGAATGCACCTCCAGCATTCTTGTTTAAAGAATGGGAACAAAATAAGAAATCCTAACTTAAACACACACACACACACACACAAAACAAAAACCCAAACCTGTGACTAGACGTGAGGGTAAACCCCAGCCCTTCAGATGTGAGCCTGGATAAACTCGAATACAAGCAAATGAAATGTTTATATTAATTTCATTATCCTGGGCAAACCTGATAGATGCGGGTGGGGTTGGGGGTGGGGAGAGAGGGACGAGGCAGCGGTAAGTTTCATTTTGGGTCTTTCTGGTCGAGCAACAAGAAAATGAATTAAGACGGAAGCGTAGGATGAGCCCAGACTAAATCAATACACTTTGTAATCAGCCAGCTCGGGTATTTGGACACAATGACTTGGAAATAATTAATAGTTGGAAAGGAGAGAGTGGGTTGAGAAGGAGAGCGAGGGGTGTCACCATATTTTATCCAAGCACTTTACACTCCACGCTCAACTTTGATCTGCAGATTTGCGGAATTCATAAAGAAAGAAGGGAAGGAGGAGAGAGAAAAAGCCTGTGTTTCCAAGCACCTACCGGCCTGAGATGGGCACATGCCTGGCTCCGGGCGTCTCCTCGCAGCGGTCCCGCCGCGTCTTTGGGCATGGAAAAGCTCGGGGACAGCCTCGGGGCTGGCCGATGCCCCTTCCCTCCCCCCCCCCCAGCCTCCCTCCCCCCCCCACGCCCGTGCCCGGCTCCTGGCAGCTGCGGCCGCCTCGACTTACCCGGCTGAGTCCCGCAGGGAGTGGGAGCGCCGCCTTCACGCCCGCGGAGGAGGCGCGGGCAGCACCATGGTCCCCGGCGCCGCCGCCGCCGCCCCTCGCCCGCTCGCTCCTCGCGCGCTGTCTTCCTCTCCAAAACTTTCAGCTTCTGCGGTCGACAAGAAACCGGGGCGACCCTCAGCACGTCTTCTCCGTGCAGGTTATGTCGGGGGGAGGGGGTCGGGGGGGGGTGGAACAGACGAAGGGGACGGGACGGGTGAATGAGCCGAGGGGCCCGGGACCGGGGAGGACGGCCGGGCTCGGAGGACCCCGGGTTTGCGCCGGGAGGAGAGAGGAGATGCGGCTCAGGGAATCGCAGCCACGAACCCGAAACCGGGGGAAATCGGGCCGGAGCCCAAGTTCTCCGCACCTTCCCCGGGATCTTACAAAGTTGCGACAACAACAAAAAGAGAGAAAAAGAAAGAAAGAGAAGAGAAAGAGAGAGGGGGGCCGGAGGAGGGGGTGGGATAGGGGATACGATCGCCGGCGCAAGGTTTGGAGTTACAACTGTTTATTTAGTCCTTATTCTCACAGGGGGCGGGAGCTGCGGGAGGATTTGGGGGGCGGGGGGGTGCTGGAAGCAAACACTTGGGAGGGGGACGTGAGACTTTGTTTCAGGGCGCGGAGCTCCCCGGCGCCCGGGTGTCACCGCCAGTCTCCCGGGACCGAGGCGGAGCTCCCCAACAGGTGGGGAGGGGGGCTCGCCGAGGGGGGGCCAGAAAAAGAGAAGGAATCAAAGTTTCCGGGCGCTGCGGTGTCTGGGGAGGAGGAGTGGGGAGGGGGGCGGAGGCGGGGGCGACGGGAGGCGGAGGCTGCAGATGACCGCGACCCCGCGGCAGCTGGCAAAGTCCTCGGCTCCCCGCGCCGCCGCCGCTACCGCCGCCGCCACCGCCGCCGCCTCGGTCCCCCACTCGGAAGCGCACGCCGGCTCGGCCCCGTTGGGGTGGGCTCCGGGGAGTCGTCTCCGCGGGACAGGAACGGAGCCCCCTCCCCCCCATCCCCTTTCCCTCCCCGAGAGAGCTCGGAGGAGGAAGGCTGCGCGCCGGCGAGAGACCGGGAGAGACATGGGTTGCCGGACTGGGCCAGGGGGACGCGGCGACACGCGCGCGCGCGCCTCGCAGGACAGATCAAGAGCTTTGGCAATCCCCTCGTTGCCGAAGCTTAGGATGGAAGGGGGGGTGTAAACCCAGAAAGTGTGTGTGCGTGTGTGTGTGGTGTGATCGGAGGAGGATCCGGGCGCGGCGATTCCTCCTCGCAGCGCACCCGGTTCTCGTGCCCACCCGCGATCTGGCTGGCCACGGCTTGTACCCGGCGTGTCTTGGGAAAGCTGGGGCCGCGGGGGCCGAACGCGCGTGGGGGGAGGTGAGCGTCTGGCAGAGGGTGCGCGGGTGGTGTGCGTGTGTGTGCGTGTGTGTTTGAGTTTTCCGAGCTCCGAGGGGGAGTGAGAGCGAGCGTCCCCACCGCTGGGTTCGGGGCAAGACGCGCGTGGCTCCAGGGATGTCCCCAAACGCGGGGCCCAGGGCGCAGACGTCCCCAGGCAGTCTGTCCCCGTCAGCGAGGCTCCCTCGGGGGCACCCAAGGGGCACACACCCGGGAGTGAGGAAGGGGAAAAGTTTGCTCCAAGTCCAAACTTTGAACCTCAGGAGGCGCCCGCTGCACGCCCCCTCCCGCCGAAGAAGCCGCGGCCCTGAGCCCGGCCCTGCACCCCGTCCGTGCCCGAGTGGCCGACACTGGGCACTGAAAGTTACGACCGGCGGCCTGGCTTCTGGGTTTCTCCACCCGGGTAGAGAGAGCGAGCGCGGCGGCGCGAAGGGGTCGAGGGGGAGGCGATCTCGCCCCCCTCAAAGCCGACACCGCACCCCCCTCTCCATTTGACTTATGCAAATAGACCCCGGGGTTCGGCCTTCGGAGCTCCCCCCACCCTCAGGCCGGCTCGTAGTCCCATACCCCCCCCCCCCCCGAGCCTGGGCCCGGACCCCGGGAAAGAAGAAGAGAGGGGAAGGCTAGGGGAGATGCACGTGGAGCCTGGAGATGAAAAGTAGGGTTTTTTTTTCTTTTTCTTTTTCTTTTTGTCTTTCTTTTTTTTTCTTTCTTTTTTTTTGTGCTGCTTGTTGTTGTTTAAAGTGGCGGAAACAAGGCAGGAGGCGGCTTGGGAAAAAGTGGAGCAGAAATGGAAAAATACAAACTCACCCGCTGCAAATGGTCTCTCGGTGCAAACTAAGGTGTTTTCGGGCCTTTCCCCGCGCGCGCCCACTCCCGCCCGCGCGCGCACACACACTCACCCGCGCACACACCCGCGCGCACACGCACACACATACACACACACGCACGCACTCCCGGGCGAGGGCCGGGCCGCCGCGAGTACAGCATGCAACTGCCACACAATAAATAACAATAGATTCCTCCGCTCGGGACTAGCTTCCCAGAGCCCCGCCAGCGCCAGTGGCGGCGGCAGAGGCGCGGACCGCGCTGGGCCAGGATGCCCCCCCACATCCCCACCACCAGCCCATCCCCACCTCCTGCCAGAGGCCCCTTTCCGCCTCACGCATTTCCCAAGGTTCCCCCCCATACACACACCCCTCCCAGCGCCCCCAGAGTTCTAACCGCACCCGCTTGCCTGGTCCCTGGGGCGCTGGCGCCCAACCCCTTCCCCCCCCCCCCCCCAGCATCCCGGAACAAATAAATAAATAAGGCGCGCAAGTAGAGGCCAACACGTCGCGGAGGGAGATGTTGTTATTTTTTGCTGTTGTGCGTCCCTGACGTCACATCCACCTGCTGGGTAAACAACAGGGCTTGCAGGAAAAAAAATCGCAATGGTGGGGGGGGAGCTGGAGGGGGGAGGGGGATAATCCTGGGGAGGGGGGAGGGGGGGTGTCCGGGCTGGATAAGGAAGAGGAGAGAGAAGCAAAGACCGAGAAAGGCAGGGAACGCCAAAACAGTCTTTTAAGAGGAATCTGGCAGGGAAGACCTGGAAAATAAGGGACCAGGGGGCGCGAGGAGGGATTGCTTACAAGATGAGGAGGGGGGGAAAGGGGGGGCAAAGTGTGGGGGGGTGCTCCAGACACTGGGGGGGGATTGAGAAGAGAGCGCGGCCACCAGTAGAGACGAAGAGGAGAAGGCGAGGGCTATTTGCTCGGTGTTGGAGCTAAAAATACCGGAGGAAGAGGAGAGGACCGGCGCAGACGTGCGTTTCCTCCAGTTAAAAGTGAAAGTGCTCTGCCCGCGGTGACAGTTGCCGCCCGGGAGCCCCGGCTGGCGTGCCCGGCCGCGCTCCCTCCTCTCCCGTCCTCCCTCCGTCTCTCCCCCTTTCTTTCTGCACTTTGTCCAATGAAAGGAGGCGAGTTCGGGAGGTGAAAGTTCAGCAGAAGGACAAACCCGGGTTTGCAAGGAAACAGAAACCCCACCAAGCCACTCCGCCAGCCAGGGGTTTTCCCCCTGCATCTGGGAATCAGGAATCGGGAGAGAAAGAGAGTACAGAAACAAGCTCCCCCCACCCCCCCCCACACACACCACCCCCTTGGCTTGTCAGACACTGCAGGAATGTGTCTCCAGATCTACTTGGAGGAAAAGTAGCTGCGCGGAACTGTGCTCTGGCTTCCTTTCCTCTTAGGAAAACACCCAGGGCTAGCATGTCAATCACTTGTTTAACACAAATTACCTCCTCTCCCACACATCAGTCACATGGCAAGAACGCTTTGTCCAATTCTGTGAAAAGGTGAGACTTTTTTTTTTAATTTTTCTCCCCCTTTTGACTGTTTGGAAGTTTGAATTCAGTCATTTGGATGAGCTAAATGAGGAGCCCTCATGAAATGTTATTGGAATGCAGATATCCGTATGTAAAACAAAAGACACTTTTTACCCACACAAATAGAGAAGACCTATTTTCGGTTCCCAAAACATGGCTTAGAAATGTATTAAGACCTCCATGTCTGCTCGTTTAACAGATTTTTTTTTAAATTTCAGATCTATCATCCCAGATACTGCCAGACTCCCAAGCTATAATTTCCAGCTTCACTTTATGAAAGTATATTAAAAGCACCCTATGGATTCCTACCCAAAAGAAAAACCCTGAGCTGGGGAAAAGGTTTACACAGTCCGTTTGGCCTTGAGATTAGCCAAATAATAGTCTCAGATAATATTCTGAGAAGGCTGTTATAAATTCTTCGCAAATATTGTTCACTGTTCATTTTTAGCTTTCACATTTCCGTTACTATGAAAGCATCAGAATTTAGAATTGTATCTGTTTGGAAAGAAAAATAATATTAACAAAGTCTTTCACTAGTGTTGCAAAATGAAGCCAAAGGAAAGGAGGCTACTCTAAGTGAATTCTGTCCTGGCAAAACTCATGTTGAATGCATGCTGCATAAAGTTCTATGGTATCCAGGCAAGACCACCGGATCCAGCCTTTTACTCTAGAAACTAGATAAATTCATTTTAGCGTAATGTACAGTTTCCTAGAAGCTAGGGTTCATGTTGTCTTTGTCAAGATATTAACATACCTTCCACATTCTAGGCCTCAAAGTGGGAACTAAAGGATATACAAATAAATAATATTTGCTCCTGGGTACTCACAATCTACAGCGGTCAGCAATTGCATCTAATATTTACTGAATGTTTACTATGACTTGGGCACTGATCTAACACCATTATGTCAGTCAGTTCATATTCTCAACAACCCTTTGACACCACTGGAAATTTCATATACTGAATTCTCATGAAATTAAATGGAACTCTACAAAGTAGCCAGTCTACTGGGAAAAGTTGTTTGTAATTTCTGTGTTTCTGACAAATACCCCTGGTTTATAGCATCCTTCCAGTTGTCGAATTAAAACTCAGAGGAATCGCAGCTTATTTAAATGTGATAAACAGTTGCATCATCTATAAAGAACAATGCCTCCTTCTGATAGTGTGTTGTCCTTCAATTTTTACCCTCATACAAAATATATATAACAAGATATTTAACTATAGATAGATAGATTGATTGATTGATTGATTGATTGATTGATTCCTGCTGATCTTATAGTGCATTTGAACAGCCTGAAATTCTACTTTCACTTGCTAGTGGAGGCTCAAGTCAGGTTGGCAACAAGTTTTGCAAACAAAAGGAAATTCTGGTTGTAAACCCCATGATATATGTATGGCACTTAGTTTGGGACATGATTCTGTCTAATGTGTTGTCTTATTAAAGATTTCCATGTCTGTGTAGTTTACATTAAAGGAAAATTTAACTGCAGCTTAACATAATGTTCATTTCCAATACTGTCACGTTACATTCATAAGGAGCAGATTTTAATTTTTTTTTTTATCAGTAATCAACTGGAAGTTTCTTTTTGTTAAATTAAAGCAAGAAGGCTTTTTTAAAATAAAGGGCATGGGGGTAGGACGCCACCTTTTGGTGATAGAACAAATAGAAATCCCTTTTTGAAGCATGTTCCTGACATAATTTTATTTTTAATTATGCCCAAAGCAAAGGTGCTTGTCTCCTTTTATTTATATACAAAGTAACAGAAAATAAAACCAATGTAAATGCACAATTTTCTGATTGCGCTTACTTGCAGGCAGTATTTCTCTAAAGAAATCAGAGCATGTGGAAGTGGCACTGTGGCTCAAGTGGTAGAGTGCTAGCCTTGAGCAGAAGAGCTCAGGGACAGTGCCCAGGCCCAGAGTTCAAGCCCCACCACCAAACAAAATAAAACGAAACAAAAAAAAAAACCCAAAAATCATTACAGCAAACAAGCACACTACTCCCTCAAATTAAAAAGAAAAGAACAACACAGAAATCAGACCATGTTAATGTTCTGCCACATACACCACTACCTGTATATACAAGTTTAACTCATTCTTTAAATTATGTTGATGAACATAACACACTTCATGAGATGTTTTCATGCTCTTGTAAGTTTAGAGTTGAACGGACACAAAAATTACTTAGTGTTTCTTCCATTGTAGTTACTAGATTCCTAATGTTGCCATACCTATAGAGCAAAGTAATTCCTGAATAACCAATACACGTCATTCATTGGAGTGCTGTTATTATGCTAATTGTACTAACTATATTCATTTATATCAACCCTTTTGTTTTCTGTTACTACTTTAGGTAGGAAATTTGTATCACCCTCCATAAATTAAGAAGAGGCACAATGCAAAGAAAGCCACTGATTTTGTGAGAATAGCAAATGAAACATTCTAATTGAATTTAAAGAAGAGAACATGTGTCTGAGGCTGGTGGCACATGCCTGCAATCCTAGCTAAAGTCTTGCAATCCTACAGGCTGAGATCTGAAGATCATGGTTCAAAACCAGCCCAGGTTGGAAAGTCCACCAGACTCTTATCTCCAATTAATCACCAAAAGCTAGAAATAGGGCCATTGCTTAAGTGGTTGGGCTCCAGCCTTGAGCAAAAAAAAGCTAAGTGACAGCATCCTGGCTTTGAGATCAAGCCAGAGAGAGAGAGAGAGAGAGAGGGAGGGAGGGAGGGAGGGAGGGAGGGAGAGAGGGAGAGAGGGAGAGAGAGACTCCTACTTGATTACTAATAAAAATCTCCTTGCCAAAGTAATGTATCCATGTTGAAAATGAACAGCATAAGAACATCATTGTGTACCAGTGGTTTACACCTGTAATCCTACTATATAGGAAGGAGTCTAAGATCTGAAAATGTGGGTTCTGGTTTGGAGCCAGTTATGGCAGATGAATCTAGAAGATATTTATCGCAAATTTGCCAGTAAAAATCCAAAGTGGTAAAAGTACCAGCCATGAGTAAAAAATCTGAGCAAGAGCACAAGGCTCTGGGTTCAAACCCTTGTACTAGCACACGTAATGCATTCGCAAGCACACACATAAATTCCCAAAGCAAAATATGATCATCACATGATCTTGTTTTCTCTCTCTCTTTTTAAATGATCTGAAGGATTGGGCTGGGCAGGGGTGGAGAAGAAATGGATTTTTCCATCTGCGAGTCAATGTCACCTAAGGCTTTCCCAGTGACAAGGGTCCCACAGTTGGAAAAGTCTGGGCACAACTAAGCATGTCAAATCACAGAAGGAAAACTGAGGCCCAGAGATAGAAGTCATTCTCCAAGCCAAATAATTGGTTGATGGTTGAATGATGGGAGGGAGTGCAAGTGATCTGACAATGTATTTACATCTCAGTCTTTCCATCTCACAAAACAGATCAGTCCTCAAAACTTAAGCAGCCTGCTCAGCCTCCAGGAACAGCCATCCTCCTTATTCCTTTAACAGATGATGGAGCAGCCAAGGCTCCAGTGGGCCAACATCAAGTTCAATGCCCTTCTCAGCCTCTCTGCTCTCTCAGATGTGGCAGGGATCCAAGTGTGGGGATGGGGTGTAGACACATGAAGAGAGGAAGGAATGGA